CACCGAATTAATGAGACGTGACAGTTACATATGCATATCGATTAAACAATAATAGTTACATATCGAAACCGAGGCTTGCAGCAGTTCGCTTTTGGTCTTTGGTTGGAGAGAAATCGAAACCGCAACCGAGGTTTGCGCTGGTCGAAGAGAAAGAAGGGCTGGTGGAAGAGAAACTCTCTGAAACGAGGGTGGAAGACAAAGCACAGTAACTGGCGTTTGGAAAAATAAAGAAAACACTATTACCTCGGTTGTACAGAAACCCGAAGCCGTATGCAAGCTACTAACACAGTTCTACACAAACCCGATGCCTAAACATCTTTAAAAAAATTCAAAATAATTGTATATGCCTCGGTTTCATTCACAACCGAGGTCGTATCGCATTTCCGCACCGGCTCCAAACTAACCGAGGTCGTATCAGAGACTTTTATGCCTCGGTTTCCATGTAGACCGAAGCATATACACTTTAGACACCGGTTCTGCAAAAGACCGAGGCGGTATCCCTTGGTCAGTCTGACTCCAGTCAGCAGCAGAGAGCAGCAGAGATCAGCAGCGATAGCAGGTGAGTTGCAGAGGGTTTTATGCCTCGGTTTTTTTCATAACCGAGGTAGTATTGTGTATAGGCACCGGGTCTTCCAAAACCGAGACATATTAGACGCGTTCTAAGACCGTTTTTTTACTAGTGATATGTATTACAATATTTCTTATTTCTTATGAAAGATCAAAAAAGTATTTTAAAATAAAAGCATTTATATAATGAAGAGGAATTTTATAATTACAAAAGAAACACAGAAGCAGTTTTTAAAACTCTAAAATATTTTAAGATAATATCATTGCTAATGTTTCTCTTCAACACGATTCTTTATTCTACTTTCGTGTAAATATACGATCATAACAAAAAGCACTACAACTACAAATCAAAATATACTAGTATATTTGAAAAGGGAATAACTTATAAATAGTTCAAAGCATTAACATGACAAAAAATCTCAAACAAATTATATAGATACACACATTTATTTAACTATAACTTCTATCTCCAGATAATTTTTGTGTGTTGAATTAAACTTAACAAGTAAATCATTTGTCCTGTCAGTATACATAATTCAAAACTCATCAAATTGGTAAATATGTTTCGTTGGCCTTAGTAGATAATTTCTTCACTTTTCACAAGTCAAAAATAGGTTTTACCATACCGAAATATATCAAATTGAAACCAATTGAACCAGATTTACCAATCTTTAAACAAACTATCAAAACCCTAAATACACATACCAAATTTAACTTAAATATCAATACATCCCTTTTACCAATTCATATATCAAAAAATTAAAAATCTCATCATACATTAATTCAGCCACTCTCAATCATAAACTAAACAATCTTAATCAATCATATAATCAATTTTTTAAATATCTAACTTCCCTTACTTGAATAGATGAAAGGTGCAACACACAAGTTTTACCTCATCCAAGTTGCTCTACCTATAATAGAGAAGATACTCTAACATTCTTAATGAAACAAAGATTCATCTTAAGACCTTCAATGCCACATGCAACTCAAAACACCTCACATGCAACAAATCTTTTATAAAAAAAAGGACAAAAAAATGAACTTATTATGTTCAAAATTTGGATCATATGCTTGTAAACTGTAATGTTCAAACAAATAAAAGATAAAGTCGAAGATATAGAAAGCAGACAAATAAAACTTAAAAAAAAATTAAAAAGATATTCTTATAAAATGAAACTTGATTAAGAGAAAATTATATTCCCCATTTAATTTTCAATAGTAAAATAATGGAGTATCATGTTTTAATACCATTACTTATCTTAGCTATTTTCTTACAATAAATGTTATATATAACATCAAATAAATTTATTCTTGATGTATTCGAAATATTTTAGCCATGTAAACTTTATATTCTTGACAGTATGTAGATTTTTTTTGGTTGTTTCTTGTCTGATATTCAATTCCAGTGTACAAGTGAAGACATGATCGTATAAGACAATCTAATGTAATTAAGTTTTCTTTTTGAATAATTTTTCTCTCTTTAAGTTAAGGTTTCTTTTCTTTTATTTTTGCGTATGTGAACTTTTATAATGATATTACTATATAAGAGTCGAATAATTTTCTTATATTACTTTGGAAGTACTCTTTTCAGGTTTTCATTCAATGACAAACTCAGTTTTCCAAGATTGGTAAGCAAAAGTGAAAAAAAAAAAACATGAATTTCCAAATTAAACATGACATTCTCATCTGTCCTTTATATAATAATAATAATAATAATTATTATTACTATTATTATTATTATTATTTTATTATTATTATTATTATTTTATTATTATTATATTTACTATTTATCATTTATTTTTCATCTTAAAAATTATTGTGAAACAAATTGTTAGCATGGAAGCTCAATTAAATTCATTTATACTTTATTCCGGTCCTACAACTTCCAAAGAAATAAAAGAATGGTGCCACAATTTTCCAACTTGTGAAAAAAAATTCAGACACTAAAATATATAATTTTCTTTAAAATAGTTTTTCATTTCATAGCTATCTCCAAACTATTGAGTTCTAATTGGTTCAAAATGTTTCTTATATCTTCAATTTTGATGTACTTAGATTTTTAAAAGGACCACAATGAAGACGAAATTAAGAAAATACGAGAGCAGAAATTTAACCAAATGGAGGTTTTACAGAAAACATGCATTGCCTCTTGTGTTATTTATATTGTTTTAAGTTACTATACCTATACAATCATATGATGATAGTTATTTTATTATGTTGCTTACTATCTTCTTTTTGAAAAACTTGCATAAAAGACAATCATAAAACAAAAAGTGATGGTCACAGGCTACAATATTTACTTCTACCGCAATTTTCATAAGATAAAACTCATCATTTATCAAACTTATTCAATTTCACATATAAATAAAATCATTCTCTTTACATCATGTTTTAATACAGTAAAATAAAATACATCATCCAAACAAAAAAAAATTAAACTCTATTTTCCCGAGCTCCCATAATAAATCAGGATCATTACAATCAATCACAAAGAGTAATAAAACATCAAAACAATTCAATATATATTCCCTTTATACTATTCATTTAATAATATAATGTTGCATATACATTAAACCACCATCAGACACCAGCCCTAAAACTCCTCCGATATTTATATTGTTTTAAGTATATACCCAGTGCAATGATTCTTAACTTATAATTATTTCATTATTTTAAATACTATCTCCTTTTTGAAAATTTTACATAAAAGAAAGTGCAAGGTGACAAGCAACAAACAATAACATTCACGGATATAGCAAAGACAATTTTTAATATATTCTCCGCTTTAGGCCAATTCTTTACGAATTTACTTTTATATCATTTTAAAAAATTTCTTATCAATGAAATATCTTATGTATATATAAACTCTTATTCATCTCTTATTTTTAATGATATGAGACTTTGTTTGTATCCAATACTGATCACAGTAATTACATCAACAACATCCACTTTTAATTTTCAACACTCGGTCTCATTCTAATACCGAGAGAAAAATTTCAGAGTATTTTATATAAATTTTAAAAGTATATATTGTTCATAAAATGATATATATATATATATATATATATATATATATATATATATATATATAATAGAAACAAGAAGTGTTTTCTTCGTCGGAATGAATATAATGATTGAGACTTATAACATGTTACGTATTATTCCACATTGTCTCCCACCACACTACAAGGATACAAATAAAAGTCCCTACTAATTAATAATATAAAGATATATGTTTACATTTTATATGAAAATAATGATTGAGACTTAAAATGTTACGTATAGATTACTCCACAAAGTTTCTCACCACACTATCATAATAATATAATGCAAAAAAAAATCACTACTAATTAATAATGTACAGATATTATGTTTCAAATCAGAATTAAATATTAAAATTTAATATAGAATATGAGTTATGTATTATAGTGAACATTCAAGCGTTGAATTTTTATAATTATAGTAAAAACCACTTAATACAATAAAAAATTTAATTATTACAATAAAAATATAGAATATAAAATGTCGAAGAAAAAAGTCTTTTTTATTAAGTATATACATGTATATTCATTTTCTTTATAGGCCTACTTAACGTTAATAAAATTATATATTAATTTTCAAATATAAAATAGTGTAAAAAGAACTAAACAAAAAATTAAATATACTATATTTGTTGAGGTGTTGGATAAGTGTAAAAAATTACATTAAAACAGTGAACAGTTGAACACACATAAAACAAAATTACATTAAACTAATTTTTTCTTCCCAAACGAATAACACGCTTTTTATTGTTTGTTTTGGGCAGTCTCACATTAAACACAACTTCAACTAGTCTTGCAAGCCATTGAGGTTTTCCAGCAAAGAATACATTATAACCCAATATTATTCCAAAGATCGTCCCAAATGCATATCCGATTACAACGGCTTTCCACCCAAATCCTGATTCTACTTCATCAAATGTTGAACCTTGTGACCTTTCTTTATTTCCTTTGCAAGATCTTGACAAGGGGAATCCACACAGCATCGGATTTCCAACATAGGAAATATTTTCAAATATGTTAAACTGTCCACCCGTAGGTATCACTCCCTCCAATTGATTTTGTGAAAGGTTCAAGAAAGAAAGAAAATTCAAATTTGTAAGAGTCATGGGAATCTCACCCTTCAATTGGTTCCATGAGAGGTCCAACCATTCCAAATTGCTTAAATTACTCAATGACAGTGGAATGGTACCAGTGATTTTATTGTGTGAAAGGTTAAGCCCTATGAGAGACTTCAGCTCTCCAATGGCTTTTGGAATTTCTCCTTCAAACATATTATTAGATAAATCAATGACTACCCAAGTAGTAAATATCCTCGTGAGTTCCCTCTGTAACCCTTTCATCACTCCCACTATTGAATCGTTATATGTACGACGGTTGCCCAAATATGTTGAACCAGTTTGGCTGTGATTCACATTCATCATTTCTTGAAAGTTGACGATATATGATGTTGGCAAGGGTCCGATAAAGTAGTTATTGGAGATGTCAAAAATCCTCAACCTGGGAAATGAATGTTTGGTGCCCAAAGAAGTGATGTTACCATGAAATTTATTTGACTGCAAACCGAGTACCTGTAAAGTTGGCAAAGTTTCTAACCAAGAGGGAAATGTATCCTCTATGTCATTGTTTCCAAGGTTCAAAACTTCAAGCTTTGTACAGTGATTCAAAGTCCGTGGTAACGGTCCCTTCAAGTGATTTCCATTTAACTTTATAGTCTCAAATGCATTTCCTTCAGAAAAGTTATCAGGTATGCTTCCGTAAAGGTTGTTGTCTTGCAAATCCAACGCCCAAAGAAAAATAAATGTTCCCAAGCATTTTGGAATAAGGCCAGTCAAGTTGTTGTGAGATATATCTAAAACTTGAATATGTGGAGCTAAGAAATTTGGAAAATTGCCCTCCAGTTTATTATTTGAAAGTTTCACAAATTGCAAAGAATTAGTTGAGAACTCACCAATTGACCCTGTGAGTTGATTGTTACTAAGATCCAAGATTAATAAAGAAGGCAAAGAATAACACCCAAGAGGAACTGATCCGTTTAACATGTTACCACTCAAATCTAGGATCAATAAATTAGAGAGTTTGATGATTTGGGTTGAAATTGGGCCAACTAAATTATTATCTGATAAATATAAGAAAATAAGGTGAGTAAGATCAAACAATGATGGTGGAATAAATCCGTCAAAATTGGATTCAAAAAGAGACAGTGAGTTAAGAGACTTCAAGTGGGCTATGGAATCAGGAATGTCTCCTGAGAAATTAGTTTGAGAAATAAACAAGGTTTTTAGTGGAGAAGTCCAGTTGGAGTTTGGAAGTTCACCTCTCAGGTTTTCATTCACTAAGATATGTATTTCTTGGAGATTGGGTAAACGGAAGATGTCAGTTGGCCATTTCCCTTGGAGTTTGGTATCCGTGAAACGGAGAGAAAGCAAAGAGGACGACAGATTGGTTAACAATGACAAAGAGCTCTCTCCCACAGAAGACATGTTCACTCCACGTAAAGAAATTTCCCTTAAATTGGTGGCATTGTGAATGAGTTTGTTCCAAGTGTATGAATCAAGTCTCGGTTTGGATTCATTAGATTTTACATTGAGATCAAGATTTTTTAATTTTGATAAGTGAGAGATTTTGGAGGGAACATCACCATTAATTCTAAGGTAATGTAAAGTTAAATATGTGAGGCTGACAAGATCACCAATTGCAGAGTGTATTGGAGATCCATCTAAATCATAAGAAAGTAGGCTAAGATGTTGAAGGTGNCTGCAAACCGAGTACCTGTAAAGTTGGCAAAGTTTCTAACCAAGAGGGAAATGTATCCTCTATGTCATTGTTTCCAAGGTTCAAAACTTCAAGCTTTGTACAGTGATTCAAAGTCCGTGGTAACGGTCCCTTCAAGTGATTTCCATTTAACTTTATAGTCTCAAATGCATTTCCTTCAGAAAAGTTATCAGGTATGCTTCCGTAAAGGTTGTTGTCTTGCAAATCCAACGCCCAAAGAAAAATAAATGTTCCCAAGCATTTTGGAATAAGGCCAGTCAAGTTGTTGTGAGACATATCTAAAACTTGAATATGTGGAGCTAAGAAATTTGGAAAATTGCCCTCCAGTTTATTATTTGAAAGTTTCACAAATTGCAAAGAATTAGTTGAGAACTCACCAATTGACCCTGTGAGTTGATTGTTACTAAGATCCAAGATTAATAAAGAAGGCAAAGAATAACACCCAAGAGGAACTGATCCGTTTAACATGTTACCACTCAAATCTAGGATCAATAAATTAGAGAGTTTGATGATTTGGGTTGAAATTGGGCCAACTAAATTATTATCTGATAAATATAAGAAAATAAGGTGAGTAAGATCAAACAATGATGGTGGAATAAATCCGTCAAAATTGGATTCAAAAAGAGACAGTGAGTTAAGAGACTTCAAGTGGGCTATGGAATCAGGAATGTCTCCTGAGAAATTAGTTTGAGAAATAAACAAGGTTTTTAGTGGAGAAGTCCAGTTGGAGTTTGGAAGTTCACCTCTCAGGTTTTCATTCACTAAGATATGTATTTCTTGGAGATTGGGTAAACGGAAGATGTCAGTTGGCCATTTCCCTTGGAGTTTGGTATCCGTGAAACGGAGAGAAAGCAAAGAGGACGACAGATTGGTTAACAATGACAAAGAGCTCTCTCCCACAGAAGACATGTTCACTCCACTTAAAGAAATTTCCCTTAAATTGGTGGCGTTGTGAATGAGTTTGTTCCAAGTGTATGAATCAAGTCTCGGTGTGGAATCAAGAGATTCAACAGTGAGATCAAGATGTTCTAATTTTGAAAAGTGAGAGATTGTGGAGGGAACATCACCACTAATTCTAAGGTAATGTAAAGTTAAATATGTGAGGCTGACAAGATCACCAATTGCAGAGTGTATTGGAGATCCATCTAAATCATAAGAAAGTAGGCTAAGATGTTGAAGGTGGCTTAGCTTGAAAATGGAACTATTGGGACCAAGTAGCTCACCTTTAAGAGGAGTGCAGGAAAGGTCGAGGCCAATCACATGACCTAACTCAGAGTCACATATGACACCATCCCACCCGCAACAATCTGTTTCATTGTTCCAAGATGCTGTTTTTGGAGAATACGAGTGACAAGGATCAAACGAAGGTGGTAGCTCCACAACAGCAACTGAATTTTTGAATTGCAACAGGGCAGATTTGTCATGAGGATTGCACGACAAACAATTGTATGAAGAAAAATGAAGAAGCAAAGATTGGAAGATGATCAAGTATGACACTAAAATCCAACCCATTTGGTATGTAGTTTGATTGCTGCCAATCCAGTGAGGTTGATCTATATATAAGAAGAAATTGGCTATTTTAAAATTTCAAAATAATAGTATATAATACTTAAAATTAATTTTGTATTATACGTAAACCGATTAGAATTATATACGGTGGTCTAAAACCATTTCCTTACAGATGTTCGTATATAATTTCATGACATTTTCTTAAAATCAGAACATCATGAAACTAATTTCTCATTTTTTATATTTCTTGAATTTTCTCATTTTTTTGCTTCTATTTCATATCGAAGTCTTATGTGGTGAAGATGGCTACGAATTTCCAAAACGAAAAGGACGAGTATTATGTTCGAAATTTCCAAGTCTTGCGTCCATTTAAGGTTTTGAGACTTTCTGGTATATTTTGGTTTAAAAGTTTGGTTATGAAATGTACTAATCCAGTTCATTAGTTCATAGAAAAACTATCTTGCAGTTTGTTACTATAAAATTTCAAATATTCAATAGAATGAGAAATAATTAAGAAGCAAATGAGTGATGAGACTTGAACGCAGTATGGAATGTACAAAGTTTCCTGAGAAAGCACAAAAACCAAACTTTGAAACTTTACCTTTCAGCTCTTATTCAATGAGAAGCTCAGTGCCTGAAAACAAAAATATTAATAATATTTATCTTACTATGAATATGCAATAAATGTGATCCTAGCCGTTATCCTTGCAAAGACAAAAAAAAAATATTATTGGAAGAAAAAAAGTATTGCAACAAAAGTTTTAGAAGAAAAATCAAAATCATCAATCTCCACCATTACTGCTAGAATACGAGATCCTGAATCATCAACTTTATATCAAATATAAATTTCTTTTTAAGCACTTCAAATAAAGTAACAAAAAAAAGAAGTTGAACTCAGTGTTCTTGAAACAAAACACAAAGCTGAATTAAATAATACTGATTGATTAAGCAAGGTTAATGATCAAAATATATAAATATATATATATAATTTAAATAATAGTGATTGATTAAGTTGAATTGAATAATAGTGATTAATTAAACCGAATTAAATATAATTTAATACATCCATCACTTCAAACTTTACTTTTACTATTTTTAAAATTACTTTCAATCCAATTCTAACTATATTAATATAATATAATTAATAGAATTGTTTTAAAAGTAATTTCAAAATTACTAACTAATAAAAATATTAATATTTATATGGAAAATGAATTTAGCTTCAGTTTATAAAGGGACAAAATTATCTCATTTAAAAAAAATTGGATCTGAATTTATAAAAAGTAACAAAATTAAAGAAGAAAAATTAAAACATTAAAAAAATTTAAAAATAACAAAATTATCACAAAAGATACATTATTTCATATGTCTATTAATTATTTAAATGGCATTAAAAAACTTAATTAAACAAAATTATCAAAATATAAAACTGAAATAGAAAAAATTAGAATTAAGACCATAAAAAACTGGACGAAAACAAATCCAAATATTTAACTTTTATTTTGTTCGTGTAATAAATGTGATCCTAGCTCTTGTTCTTGCAGGTAGAAATATTCAATCAAATAAATAAATGTACTTTGTCACAGTTTTCTAACTTCTATTTTACGTTAAGGTTTCTGAACTTTTCAGAAATACCTATTAGAGAAAAAATAGTATTGCAACAAAAGTTTTAAAAGAAAAATCAAAATAATCAGTGTCCACCGTTCCTACTAGAATACGAGATCCAGAATCATAAACTTTATATCAAATATAAATTTCTTTTTAAGCACTTCAAATAAAGTAAAAAAAGAAAAAAAAGTTGAACACAGTGTTCTTGAAACAAAAAATTAAATAGGTTAAACTATTTTAGAAGTCCCAGAGTTTTTTTTCAGTTAAATCTTCGTCGGTTTCAATTGGACTCCTGCTGTTAAATTGGTTTAACAAAGTTAAGTTTGTGATGACTAGGTGGTATGTTTTTTATACGTGCACATTCAAGAAGGTTACCTAGAATGTATAACTAAAAAATAAAAAAAATAAAAAAAATAAAGTTTCTGATAATTGAAACCCAAATTAGGGCTGATCATCTTTAACCTCCCTTCATCATCTTCAACCTTAGCGATTGATGCTCAAGGTTCATCACCAAATTACAGTTTATTAAAATCAAATTGGGTTCGAGATTAAACACGCATAGATGAAGGATGCGCTTGTTCTCGCAATAGCTCGAGGAAGGAGAAACGAAGGCGTTGGAGCTCTCACTGTGTGGTCTCGCGGCAGCGCAAGAAGTTCGTGATTTTGGATTTTGCGCAACTAGGGTTTAATGCGATTTAGAGTTCTGTGTTGATGGAGATGAAGTAGTGTAGCAGCGCTGCAATTAGGAAAAAAAATGTATTAATAGATTTGGACCCTTCACATATGCAGTTGTAGATTGGGGAAAAAAGAACGGGTTGCATACTTGAATTTCTGCTGTACCTCAAATCATGGTCAATCCTGTCAGATTCATCTCCATTGAAGTTTTGTAGCTTTTTCTTTACTGAATTGGTCATATTGTTTTTGTGATTATTTTCTATGATAGTCATTCTTCACTTGAATTATAAGTATCTCATTTCCAACTTTTTAATTTTCTTTGGACACGCAGGTATTTCTTTTTTATTATGTAAAGTGATGGTTAATTTGCTATATGCTTTAAATAGAGAAAAAAAATTCTCAGAATCATTCTAGCAAAAGAAGATTTGGCACCTGACGTTGATTTTGGAGCAATGGCTAATATGACTGATAAATCTTCTGGGAGTGATCTAAAGGTTGTATTTCAATATATATTTTATTTCTTTCTTGGTTTATAGAGAAAGAAAAGAAGGTCAGTGACACAGCAAAAAACTATCTACCTAGCTTTCTCTCATACTGAAATATTAGTTCAGTGCTAAATATAATCCAGTGCTTCATAATGTGTTTATATAACAGTCCACGAATTGGTGATCTCTTTCCTCACTTTGACATGAAATGTCTTTCAGGATAAAAACTTAGCACTTTCAGGATGTAATCATTGTGCAACTTCAACCTGTGATTTCAACCTTCGACTCCTTGCTCACCAATCTTTAAGAAGAACTAACTCTAAATCTCTAATTCTTCATTTTTAGATTGAACACGTTTTAAAATTCACTATCAAATCCCAATTTTAAAATGTTTAATGTTATCAAATTACACCTATAAAGCTATGTGAATGTCACATATAAAAAACTGATCACGTCAATATTCCAAATTATAAAAAACTTAACTCCGTTAAATCAATTTAACGGAAAAAACTCAATTAAATCAATTTTTATTTTTAAGAACTAAATTGCCGAAACCAATAAGACGGAAATCTAACCGATAAAAAATCCACCCAAATAGAGACTTTCGAAGTGGTTTCACCAATTAAATAATACTGATTATTGATTAAGCTAAATTAAATATAATTTAACACATCTATCACTTCAAACTTTACTTTTAATACTTTTAAAATTATTTTTAATCTAATTCAAACTATATTATTATAATATAATTAATATAATTTTTTTAAAAATAATTTCAAAACTACTAACTAATAAAAATTTAATTTTAATAAAAATATTTATATTTATGTACTTTTCTCATTTTTTTTTTCCTATTTCATATTGAAGTCTTATGTAGTAAAAGATGGCCACCAATTTCCAAAAAGAAAAGAAGTATTATCTGGGAATTAAGTCTTACATCCAGTTAGAAGTCTAAACACTTTCTAGTAGAAATCACAGCGCGTGAGAATTTTTAGTTTTATCTTCACCATCACCACTAAAAATGTCATAAAGGATGTTTAAAATAAGTTTTTGAAATTTCTAGAAGAATCTGTATTAAAAAGGAAAAAAAACATTTAGTGTTTATATATTTAATATTGAGTAAATACGTTAATTTGACCTCAATATTTTTTATTAATGGAGATGACCATGTAAGACAATCTTACTCTATTAATATTTTTATAGTTAGTTTTTTTTTTTTTGCGTAATTCAATCTTACTCTCATAGAATTTTGATAATTATGTATTAGTCATATAGTCAAATGCATACTAATCCACTTGTTAGTAATATATTTTTGTTTAAAGTTTATTGGTTAAGAAATAAGGAAGATACTCTGGTCAGAGGAAAGCATTAAAACTTTTCAGCTTTTCATTCTGAGAGGCTCAGTGGGTGAAAGAAAAAATATTAATAATGTTTATTCTCACTATGAATATCGAATAAATGTGATCCTAATTCTTGTCGTGAATTACAGGTAGAAACTTTCAATTTCAAATAAATAAAAGTACTGTGACACAATTTTCCAACTTTTATTGTACGTTAAGGTTTATGAACTTTCACAAATACTAGAATAGGAGTCCAAATAATATCTAATAGCATGCAACATTTTAAGATAAAAAGAATTATAAATAATATAAACTATAAAGAATATACTCTATTTTTAAAACATTTAGTTACAAAAATTTTATTTTTGTTGTTGAACAATTTTTTTTTTCATCACAAGTATTTTTTTTGTATTACATTACATTCAATTTTAATTTCGAGAATTGGAGCACGAGAAGACCAGCCTAAGGATCAGTAGTCTAACAACATTAATGTTCTTGTTTATCAAAATTAAATTATTGTTGAGACTTTAAATGTTAGGTATAGATTATTCCATGTTTCTGCAGTAATATCATACAAATAAGAATGGTAAGAACCTAGAAAATAAAATATTAAAATTGATGTGTTTTAAAATAATGAAATCAAGTATTATAAAATTTAAAGGAGTTAATTAAATAAATATAATTTTTTAAACTCATGTCATTGTTTTAAACTCTCACTTTTCTCTCTAAACACGGTTTTCTTAAACTCTTTGCCATCTCTTTAAGAATTATAACTCATGAATCATCATCTCTTTGACTATCATGAGATGTTTAATTGATCACGATTACGAAGTATTCGTTTCTATCCGATCAGTTTTTGCAACAGAGCAAATAAGTTTCAACTCTCTTATGTTTTTTGTTCCTCACTCGAGTAAGTTTTCCCATCACATGTTTGTTTCAATCTTTCTTCTTAGTTCATTGTCAATCAGAGGTTGTAAGGACTTTCCTTAATCTTTGTTTGCTATTTTGTAGGTATATTTATAATTCCTTGAGTTGGAAGCAACAAAGTGCAATTCTAGTACAGGGCGTCTTTTTTCGAGAACATCATGCCTAGAAGCCCTCTGGGCGCCTTTTTTGCTAGAGGAGCTAGCCTGAGCACCTCCAAACATCCCTTGAGTGTCCCTGTCCAGAGATTTAGTGCATGAGTGCCCTTTTAGGGGAATTGAGCGCCACGACACTAGTTTTGAGTTTTTCAGGTTTTGAAAATCTCAAATTAAGAATTCTAGATATTTGGACATTAAGATTTTGTATTATATCTAAATAAACTAGAATTATATATGATGATCCAAAGCTATGTCCTTAAAGATTCTTATAAAGATTTTTTTTATAATTTTATGACTTCTTTTTATAATTAGTTTATCATCAAACTACTTCCTCGATTTTTATTTTTATGGAATTGTCTATTTTTTTATTTTTCATATTTCATATTTAAGTCTTATGTGGTGAAGATGGCTAGAAATTTGCAACAAGAAATGAGAGTATTATGTTTTAAATTTCCAGTCTTCTATCCATTTAAAGGTCTAAAGACTTTCTAACATTAATATATAATAGTGGAATAATGTTAACATGTAAAAAAATATATTAAATAATAACTAATTTAGAGATGAAAATAATTAATTATTTAGTTAAATTACAAATTATCTTACAAATTAAAAGTTATAAATACTTAAACTAATTTTAAATATTAATAAAAGTATAGTTGTTTATGAATCAGAATTTAAATTAATTTTAAATATCAAGACTTTAAAAATATACTACTATTATAATTAGTATTTCTTATAATAAAAAGAGGATATATTTTTTTGGGGGCTTTTTTTGTTCTTTTTCAATTTTATTCTCTTAATTACAATTTTTTAAATTTAAACAATAATTCAAAAATGAAAATACTATTGTTCAGTTTTATCATTTTAGTAATTCTTTTTTAAAATTCAAATTAGTGCTTATTATAAAATAATTATTTATTATTTTATCAACCATTTTTCAAATTTAAATGATCACTCGTATTAAAAAACTAGTTACACAATATTATTTGTAATATTTTTTATTTTAATAAAAGTAAAATTTATTTTATCTATAATTATACTTATAATTATATATATGCATTTTCTTTTTTAATTTTATCTTTTCAATTATTATTTTAAAAATTTAAATAATTTATAGATATTTGTAAATACATACGTAGAGGAAAGGTTTGGTGTCTTTCGTTAGTTATGAGATAAAATATACTCAAAGCTATATTTTCTTATATTTATTTTCCTATTTCCTATTTAAGTCTTATGTTGTGAAAATGACTACCAATTTCCAACAAGTAATGGCTAAGTATTATGTTTGAAATTTCCATGTTTTGTATTCGTTTAAAGGACTTTCTAATAGAAATGACAACTTCCAACTAGTGACAATTTTTTAATTCTATGTTCCCCATAAAATGATGTTTAAATAAGATTTGAAATTTCTAAAAAAATTCATGTTGAAATGGATATTTAAAGAAAAAAAAACATTTAGTATTGAATAAATATAAATTTGACTTCAATAAATATTTTATAACTTTAATTAATGTTGTTGACAAATTATTTTTTATTATTTTATTTCAATATACCAATTAATTACAAAGGTTATATATAAATAATTTTTTACATTAATAGAATTTGTCTACTACTTACAATATTCTATAATTAGCATTAAACAATAATAATTAAATATATATAATTAAATATTCTATAATATGACATTTATACCGTACTTCATAATGAAGAAACTATTTTTTCTAAAACTCTTGGTGACAAAACTGTTTTGGTACCAAAGATTAAATAAATGTGGACTTTAAGCAAATGTTTTGTACAGGATCAACTTTGGAAGTGACATTCATTTTGAAGTGTAGAATATTTTTTTTAACACTTATTTTACATATTCATGGAATGATTATGATATTAATATCGTTGTTATATATAAGAATCTCAAAGTTCATTATCAATAAATGTAATTTCTTTGAACATTTCTAACAAATACACACCTAATTAATACATTCTGAAATAGTTCTAAAAGAATTAGAAATGACATTGCAAGAATCCCTATTGTACAACATCTACAATAGCCCTAAATGTTGCAACACTTCATCCCTTCCCACATTATCAATATGCAAAATCCAATCACAAACATACTTCTCCCTAACATGATGTAGTTCGTCCTGAAAACAAAAAATGCACACAAAATCAATAGAATGCCCAATATTGTATCAAAGGTCCAAAGCATCAAAGTTTTGATAACTTCTGTAATTGTGTATTGTTTTTCCTTCGTATTTCTCAACACCATCCTACAACTCTATAAATTTCAAAACAATAATTCAATAATCATATATACATCAAACAAAGTCTAAAATACAAATACAATCTATAAACCAGTATCTATGCATACTAGTAGTTATTACAATTGATGAAACTCATAATTTTGGAAGAAATAATCTTCTTGAGCAACATAATACTGCAAAAACATCAGAAATACAATCTATAAACCAATTTTATATCTATGCATACAAGTAGTTATTACTCATAATTTTGGACTCCACCAATTAGAACTACAATTATCACAATTATTCCTAGATATCAATAGTAATAAATCAGATGTGTTCGTCATTGATCTATTAAATTTGTAATCATATACATACGTTACTTGTCAAATCTGGAAAAATTGTAATAATAAGAAGATAATTAAATTATCTTGATTTTCATATATTTTAAAGGTATATATTGCGCCATTTTTATACACGTGAAGGAGTGATCAAACAATTATAGATCAATCTAATATATATTCTGCAAATGTTGAGTATATGATTAAGACTATTAATCCAATAATGGGTTTTCGATAAATTTTCAGCAAAATTATACTTAAATAAATCCTGGTAATTAACCCACCCTCGAATTCATTCTTCTGAAGAAACGTTCTATTGACTGAAAATTACATTTTTTTTAGTTTACCTTTTGATTTTGTAGTTCTTAAAAGATTTCTAAAGTGTGTGTTAGAAGAAGCATGTTAAAGAGTATGTTAGTGGTCCTCCAAAATAATACTATAATGGTTGGTAACTTACACCAATGTAAGTTAATCCCTCCTAATGAATGGATTATTCGCTGGAAGACTAACACTGTTGGAGACCTCAAATGCACACAATGTAAGTATTCTCCTTCCACATCAGTTTATCTCATACTCAAAGACATGATAACATGATAAGTTTTCAAACTTTGAGTGGAGCGCATTCTTTTACGGCGTGAACGTTAATTAGGACAACCTTCCACCGCCATGTTCTTCCCGATTACCTTGATTGCACCCAATTGCAGATGATTGAATATCATCCGTTGAATCACCACCAGGTTTACGGAAAGAAGCTTGTACAAGACCAATAAATAAATTTTCCGTTGACGCGAGCTCTCTACTACTCAGAATTTGATGGCAGACATGCTCATAATCTTGTTCTTCATTTCTTCTAAAGTATCAGCTTGCATATATGTTTTCAGCTTCTTAACTACACATATAAGGGTGACAAGTTTTTTTGCAGAATCATAGCGCCCTTGAGTCATAACCATAAACATTCTGAGTCTTCTTCCAAAATGTATGACATGTTTTGAAAACTCTGAGAATCACTATCAGATTGCCATTTAAAAGCACTGAGTTGATAATCAACCTTTTTCCACATATAAGTTTTTCTTCTGAAATTTCCTCCGATGATTTCTCCGAGTGATCATAGTGTCCTTGTCCAAGAAACCAAACTTCTACGGAAGCAGACCAGGTTAACTAAATTTTGCCATTCAGATTCTCTGAGGTGATGGTTAGTATCCCAGAAAGAGAAAAAAGATAACCTTCTGATTTCCACCATTAGGGTTTGCTGATGCCATTCTTGGATATTAAAATAAAACTTAAAAAAATTGATTGAGATTACGACATTAACACGTAACTTTAAATCTAATTTAATCTTATAAAGTTGATTTATTATTAATTTATAAAATAAAATTTACAATCACTTATATATTTTAAAATGAATTTATCTTTATATTTTTTGACAAGTCGAGAAAATAATTATTTTAATATGAATTTATCTTAATATTCTTGACAAGCTGAGAAAATAATTTCAATTTTCAATATTAAAGAATTGATCAAGGAGAAAAAAATAGGTCTTTTATCTGATTGCATAAGAGTTTCTACCCTTACTCTCACTCCACAAACTTTGACCATGGTCTCCTAGTCCTGAAATTTTTTATAGTAAATTTGATCTTTGTTAACATGGAGAGATAAACAAAAAAGATAACGAAATGAGATATTAATCCTGTCACATAGATAATAAAAAAATTAAATAACAAATATTTAATTGTAAAATATAAAAATTTTTAAAATTAGGGTAAAATTTAAGAGAGAAGGGGGAGAATAGAAAAGAAAAATCAAGAAGAAATAGAGAAAATGATAGTGCAGAGTGAAAGAGAAAGCGCAGACAATTACTATTAACTGGTATGTATTGAAATACACTTCTCATTATTGTGTAGAAAAAGATAATATACATTTTATTATTAGTAGTACACAGGAATGAGGTTTCATTCCATACACAGACAAGTTTTATAAAAAAGAAAATACAGACAATCAGTTGAACACACATAAAACATTAAACTAATTTCTTCCCAAACGAATTACACCCTTTCTTGTTCTGGGCAGTCTCATATTAAACACAATTTCAACGAGTCTTGCAAGCCATTGGGGTTTTCCAGTCAAGAATACATTATAACCCAGTATTATTCCAAAGATCATCCCACATCCATATCCGATTACAACGGCTTTCCACCCAAATCCTGATTCTTCTTTATCAAATGTTGAATCTCTTGACCTTTCTTTATTCCCTTTGCAAGATCTTGACAAGGGGAATCCACACAGCAGTGGATTTCCAACATAGGAAATATTATCAAATGTGTTAAACTGTCCACCCGTAGGTATCACTCCCTCCAATTGATTTTGTGAAAGGTTCAAGAAAGAAAGAAAATTCAAATTTGTCAGAGTCATGGGAATCTTACCCTTCAGTTGGTTCCATGAGAGGTCCAACCATTCCAAATTTGTTAAATTACCCAATGACAGTGGAATGGTACCAGTGATTTTATTGTGTGAAATGTTAAGCCCTTTGAGAGACTTCAACACTCCAATGGCTTTTGGAACTTCTCCTTCAAACATATTATTTGATAGAAAAAGAATACTTTGACACGGCCAAAGTATTTGACATTCAAATGACACGGGGTGGGGCCCAAATTTCTTGAATGTACAGAAGGGTAATATTGT